GAGGAAAGGAAAAAAACTACCTTTTTTTTTTTTTTTTTTTTAAGATTTTACTTATTTGCGAGAGAGACAATGAGATACAGACAGCATGAGAGGGAGGAGGGTCAGAGGGAGAAGCAGACTCCCTGCTGAGCAGGGAGCCTGATGTGGGACTCGATCCCGGGACTCCAGGATCATGACCTGAGCCGAAGGCAGTCGCTTAACCAACTGAGCCACCCAGGCGCCCAAACTACATTTCTTTGTACTTTAATTTTTTTTAGTTTTTAGCCCTGGAATGATGTACACGTTTTACTTAATACTAAAGCAAGATTAGGTGGTTGTTTTTTTAAGCTTTACAACTGTAAAATGAAATGAAACATGATCTGGAGTTTCAAGTTGGCAGGAACTTGACCCCACACAGAGAGGAGCTATTCTATGTGATTTTAAAGCACAGTTACAGGATTGTATGTTCCTAGGGGCATATACCCTTAGGACAACAGAAGTATTAGATTACATTTGGTAGTCACAGTGTGGCAATAACATCAGTGTTAAAATGTAAATAAGCAATTACGCTGATGAGAGTAGGAACTCAGATTTTTAGTATAAGGAAAAGGAGACACATATATAAAATCAAAGAAAAATACCTGTAATCCTAAATCTGAATTAGAAACTTTAGTATGAAGTCATGACATCTTACTTAAAAAAAAAAAAAATTATCTATACACGTCTTTCCTCGATGTGTCTGCTGAAGAGCACAGAAACACTGACCCAGCCAGGAGCAGCAAGCTTCTGTAGCACCCTGCGCCTTTCTCCCACGCAAAGGAACCAGCACACTTTGAAGAAATGGCTGGCTCCAGATGTGGAATAGGGACAGACGAGCTGGGCCTGAAACATCCTGTCTCATCAGCAAAAAGAGAACCTGCAGGACTGCAGTGCATAGATTCAGGAGCCAATCTGAAGACACTCCCATTGGGTCTAAGATGAGAAAGTTTCAACTTCGTAAGAGATTTTTAAAAATTTGGCAATCAATTGAAACACATCAAATGTTAAAAAGCAAAGGTGTTTTTTTTTTTTTTTATCAGTCTGAAATGACCAATGGTCATTTTTCATTAGTCTGAAAACTGGTAAAGGACAAGAATCAATCATTTATCCTTTTCTTGTATTAACTATGTTCTCAGGATAACCAAGAAACTGATGATGGGACACTTCTTTTTATAGAATAGCTAAGTTGATAAAGAAGAAAGGATGTAATTAGAGTGTCACCATTTTGCAACTGTGATAAAATACTAGATCTAAACCATGATCATCAATGAATGCTTGACATCACAAAAAAAGAGGCAGCCAGACTCTCCCAGTAAAACTCCCAGTAGAACTACCTACCACCACCCATGAAGGACTTTTCGCCTTCTTCCTGCAAAATCTAACCTAGGTCTGATAAAGCCTCAAGATCCAGCTCCTAGTTTACAGGAAACACAGGGGAAGGATCACATATTAAATGGTCACCCATGGGTAAAACCAGCAAAAGCTAAAATGTAGGGAAATCTTCAGAAAAACACAGTTTCCTCATCTAATAATTAACATAAGGGGATAAGACAAAAAGACTAAGAACCGATAGATTGAGAAACACAGAGAGATCAACCAATTGCCACGTATATCCTGTGAAACAAATTATGAGACAAGCAGGAAAATCTGAATATTGATTGGCCTATTTTTATATTAAAGAATTACTACTCATTTTTTAGGCCTGTTAATGGTATTGAGGTTTTTTTCTAAAGCTTTTACAGGAATACAGATGACAAGATTACTGAAGTGAACCATGGTTCATGGAAATTCATTGTATTATTCTCTCTCCTTTTGGATGCTGAAATGTTTTATAAAAGGTTAAGGGGAAAAAAGTGTTCTTAATTCTGATGGTAGTCTGTGAGTTCTTTTGAGGCCCAAACCCTAGCACCTAGTGGCACAGGGCTGACATTATACATTTATTATATATATATAATATATATATTATATATATGTTATATATGTATATGATGTCCACACTAGGACAATATATATAACACATTAACATATATATTAAATAAAATGTTAAATATAAACTATAAAACACTTCTTTTACTGCCCCTACTCCTGACCTGAAGCATGAAGTCAGGTTTGTCACCTCATTTAATTCACCCTCTGCAGGAGTTAGTAAGTACTTTGCCGTCTTACCTATATGTGGTGAGGACTGCTTTCTACAGTACCTGGAGATGAGACTGAGGATCAGAAATATTCAAGTTCAAAGAATCCCTACTGGGTTTTTAGAGATTTTGACCTAATAAGTATCTCATGGAATCACTGATCTTCTGGCCTGCTTTTTCAAAGCCCTAGTTATTCCACTTAGATTTAATCTTTTTTTTTTTTTTTTTTAAGATTTTATTTATTTTTTTGACAGAGAGAGACATAGCAAGAGCAGGAACACAAGCAGGGGGAGTGGGAGAGGGAGAAGCAGGCTTCCTGCCGAGCAGGGAGCCCGATGTGGGACTCGATCCCAGGACCCTGGGATCATGACCCGAGCTGAAGGCAGACGCTTAACGACTGAGCCACCCAGGCGCCCCCACTTAGATTTAATTTACTAAAAGCTACTCACATAGAGAGCTTTTACAAACGTACCAAAATAAATATCCCCTAATATTTTAAAAAATGGGGTCAGAGCAGAAAGTAAATTAGTAGTTGCCCGAGCCAGGCGGTAAAGGAAATGGGGACTGGGCATGGGGTTCTTCTGGAGGTAATCAAAGTGTTCTGGGATTCGACCATGGTGATAGTTTCACAACCTTGTGAAAACCCTAAAATCCACTGAATCATACACTTTTAAAGGGTAGATTTTATGGTTGTGGATTATATCTCAATAAAACAGATTTTAAAAAACAGGATCAGAGGTATAAATTTTTCAGAAGTTTATTCTTTCACTGTAAACCTTTTACACACACAAAGAAATCAACATGCAAGTAACGTTTTTAACTATTTTAAATTAAAGTTTTTAATTTAGTGGGGTTTTTTCCCTTTTCTCTTCCTAAACAAAATAACAGCAAGCCTAAGAAACAGCAAATGACATCATGCTAACATAACTTGCCAATTCTGGTCATAAAGTAGGAAATACTATAAAATTGTGATGGCACCTACCAACTTCATTTAACCAACACAGCTGGCGAAAGTCTCAGATATTTAACAACAGTTCCAGACTAGTTTGCTGCAGTGCACCACTTCCCTCCCCACTAAAGAGACCCAACTTTAACTAACCCTGCAGAATTTAAGGTTTGAGTAAAGAGTCATGACAAACTCTGAAAGATCGATGATTTTATTTCTTCGATTAGTTAAAAGGGAAATAGTTTTAATTCTGATAATAACTTAGACAAAAATGATATCAAATGAGACATTCTGTATTAAATGCCTAATAAAGAATGAGTACAAGTAAAAATCATCAACCTTAACCTTCCCCTGCTCTTGACATGCCCGTCTCCAGGAGCTTAACCAAAGAAACAAGCGTTCTTACCACAGATCCAAACTTTAAACATCCAAAAACTGAGGAACATGTGGAATTGGCTTTAGGTCCTCCTATGGACGCCTCTGCTATTTGTAAGTGGAGTCTTTTCATTAAAATCCATCTGTCAACTATAAACTCAGGAGCTGACAAACCGCGGCACGAGTCCACATTACGCAGTTTGTCACTAAGTGATTAGGAAAGAGCGAAGGCTACTTTTAAAATTCGGTGTACTACAAGCCAGGAGGGGAATTTTTTTTTTAAGCATGTATTCCCAACTACCTAAAGCATCTTCTTTTCATGAACTTCTATTAACATTCCAAGTGCATTCTGAATTAGACTCACTTGAGCCAAATCATCAAACAGTGTTTACGAGGGGCACCAGGAAACACCACTGGCCACCAAGGTGAGATTAGCAAAAGCACCACAGGGAGCTGTGCCCTAAATATAGCTCCGTTTGACATGCCAAAAGGACACACCCCACATATAAAAGCAGCTGGTGGTGTTATACGTTTAAAATAAAATGTGTTCAAAAGGAGACATCAGATCAGCATATTATGCCTGTCTGAGAAAGATAAAAAATTATCAGCGGAAACACATCCAGGAAGACCATCTAAAAGCACATGACACTCCACACATTTACTTCCTGCTACAACAGAGCAGAAAAATCTGCAAACCTTTGTTTTGTAACAAGTGAACTCGTGCCAAAAAGGTAATATACCCAACGGCTCTTCTGTTCATGTAGAGCGGGCCCCCAAAGAAACAGCCCTAAAGCTTCCCCTCCAGCGCCCCAAAGCCTGAGAGTCTGGCCTAGATGTCCCCACCCTGCAGGAGGGCCAGGATGTACAGGTGAGCGGAGGACCCAAGAGATCACTGGGGCTTTCATACTCCAAAACATGGGTTCTAGGAACTCCAGGGTGAGGGAACAAGAAACCAAGGCAAGGAAATCAGGACACATCCAGTAAGGTCACATTCCCATCAATTTCAGGAAGATGGACTTTTTTTTTTTTTTAAGATTTTATTTATTTATTTGACAGAGAGCACAAGCAGGGGGAGTGGCAGACAGAGGGAGAGGGAGAAGCAGACTCCCCGCTGAGCAGGGAGCCCAATGAGGGGACTCCATCCCAGGACCCAGAGGATCATGACCCGAGCCAAAGGTAGATGCTTAACCAACTGAGCCACCCAGGCACCCAGATGATGGACTTTTAAACTTTTAAACCATCAGTTGCTTTACTTAATCGAATGGGGAAAAACATCAAATGTTTGTTGAATGACATATCTCACTCACCAGTGCTATCTGACTTATAATGTGCCTACCCGCTAGGAGAAAATGCTTTAGGCACTAATTTCTCAGGAAAATGTTACAAGAATAAAGCAATTAAAATCCACTGAAACACCAGTGCTTTAATGTGTGTGGCAGGTGAGTTAATGTGGTATTTCAGACTCTGACACTGTATCAGAAGCAGTCAGAAGAAACAGTAACACAGAGTAGAAAGTTCAACTTTACCTGAAAGGTACGCAACTTTTTCCTTTAAAATTGGCAAAACATCCATAGCTTTCATTTCATCGTTTTTTCGAAACCCTGAAATACATAAGGAGAAATTCAAGTTACTACGTTGCTTGAGTGACATTTAACTTCTTACCCAGTCTATCCAATGTCAACACAGCAGCTTTCCTCACACCCATTAAATCAGCTTTAGAAATATCATTTCAAAGCATCTGAAAGACTGTGATTACAGAATTATCTTCTATTTTAATGTCAAACAATGATTTGCACATAGACCCAAAGGCTCCGGTACCAAGCTGGCTCCAGGCCACTCGTAGCAATAAAGATCTGGTCCCCAAAAACACAGGATATGAAACCAGTCCAGATCATTTCAAAAATCTTCATCTGAATCCTGTGGATGAATGCAACTAAAGCAGCAATACCATGTTTTAAACACGCGGCTTGGTGACACGCTGAAGCCTCTAGGGGGAGCTCTGAGCCTCCTCCTCCCCCTCCTCCTCCCCTTCCCAGAGTCCGGTGTGGTTAAAAATAAACAGTGGCAGTGAGGAGAGCAGGGATTATAAATAGCCAGGGACTGGCCACAGCTCCCTTTAGGCTCTACCCTTCCAGGCTTTCTGGGTCATGCCCCCCCCCCCGGAGGAATGTCACTGGTTAGTGGGATAAGATGGCCCAGTGCCACCTGCTTCAGAAGGTGGCCGAGACCCTCTCCTCAACTGTGAAACTAATTCTCCCCGTGCCCAATATTGTCAAAGGCAAGTGGAGAGATCACGGCAAAGAAGCACGCAGCAAGCAATTTAGGCCAAGCCAACATCCATCTAAGATAAGGAATTCTTGCAGCCCAAACGTGTCTGGCCCAGCTCACCAGGGCAAAGGCCCCCAAAGTCTCGGGTCAAAAATGTCAATGCTCATAATAATGCCTCGGCATATTTCTCCTGGAGGTCTCCAACAGAGGGAAATCTAGGTTCAGGATGCTGGCCATCCTCAACAAAACGAGAAACTATCATTACTGGCTGAGCAATCTCTAAGAAAAATAAAAAGACCACTGTCCCGTCGCTATTTTCCTGTTTGTTTTTGCCAAAGTAGTACAAGGAATGCTCCAGAATGGTAGCTTGGTAACACAATGGAAGATGCAGACCTGGATTGAGAGAGCAAGGAAAGCTCTCTCTCAGTGAACTGGGGCTTCCACCTGTGACGTGTCTGAGCAGCCCCTGGGGAACCAGCCCTGCCATAGAGGAAACCTATAAAAAAAATCAACCGTCTCAAGGCTGCAGAGTAACCCAAAGCAGGGAGACACACTTGGGGAAAAAGGGAATGGCACTGGGAGCACTGGGCTGGGGCTTTTAGCCTGAGGACAGGGTGCAGGCTAAGCCACATGGAGCTGCCAACACATGAACCAGGACACAGCTCGGGGCAACCTCAGCAGCTGAGGAGAAATTGTGGAAAGGAGCAGGGGAGCCCCAAATTCTGGGTATAATCTTGGCCCAAATCTCTGACTCTCCCCTGAGCTTCACTTGTAGGAGGCAAGCTCCAAGCTAAAAACAAAGTATCTGACTGAGATTCATGTTGGGGCCCACCACAGACGAGGTGGGGTTCCTAGTTTGAGTCCAGCCAAATTAGCACCCTGCCAAAGCAAGCAAACAACAAAATCGGCACTTTGAGGAAGAATGTAACAGAATCCAGCCTCTGCAATATATCAGTCATAGAAGCAAAGAATGACTAAATTAATGGTGTGATTTGATTAAGTAAATCTCTCCTGCCCACAGAATACTTATATGTATCCTAAGAACCCAGTTTAACAGGATTAACCATGATATTGACAATCACCAGAGACACTGCACAAAGACAGCAGCGAACACATCCTGAGGAGGACCCCAAGGTCCAGGAGATAGAGCAGCATGACCTCTCTGGTCATGTAAGGGCTCAACACAGAACCCACACCTCTACATCATCAGGCCATTTTGCTTTCCAATATACCAAGCTTTGTGCTGGCAATCCACCAAGCTTTTAAAAACAGTGGCTATTTATAAAAGGCAAAACAAGAGCCAAGAGTTCTGCAATTTCATCCTTAAGGTTCCTTCAAAACTCTTGAATGGATGCAATCTAGTCTCAGCAATTCACTGCCAGTCGTTGGGTAATTCACTGGACACGTCTACAAAGACAGATTACATCTCAATTCCATCTGGGGTGGACAGAGATGTCAGTAGGGCAAACTACAAAGAGGAATTAGGCAGCACGGCGGCCCTCGTGAAGACAAGTTTATAAATACCTATGGCAAGGCACAGCATGAAAAGTTCCACAAGCAGCCCAGAGTGCTAGGGGCCTGGACAAATGAAGAGGCAAATCAAATGATAGAAACGGTAGGAAGAACTAAGCCTTAACTGTGGATTGCAATTTACAGGGATTTGAAAAGAGGATCCCCCTTCTATTGCTACCAGATAAGAAAACACAGGCTTTCCCCCATTCGCACACTGCCTCTGCCCCCACAGAAGCCCTGGCCAGGACACAGCCAAGCCCTCCGAGAAGGACCACCAGCTGACTGCTGTCCTGGATTCGCACACTCTATAGAAACCGAAGCCCCACTTGAGGGTCTAGCCCATCTCACACAACCCTCAACAAATAGACTGTCCTAATCCCAGTGCTGGCACCTCACAAGAGGACTCCGTGACTTACATGATAATTCCAAAGCATCCTTACCAATTCCTGCTGACTCTCTGAAACAACCCATTTATTACCACCCTTTACGGAGTGGATGATGGAAGTTAGAGCTGCCATGTTACAGGACACCCCATGGGAAGAATAGCACTGACGTGAAAACAAGGTGAAATAAACAAAACTTCACAACCAAAATCTCGATTTCCTATGACCCACTAGAAACCACAGACTCACTCCTGTGTTTTAGTTTCTAAAAACTATAGTTACTTTAAGCCTATCAGTTCCTGAATTTCTCCCCTAAATTAAATAAGACCCACAGTTTTGTTAGAGGAGGAAAGGCACACGAATCCAGGGTTAAACTGGTGTTGAAGTGGGTTATGCTTCTATTGTGATATACATACATGTCCAAACATAGAGTAGAATATAAATTCTTCAGTTTTACCACAATATTTTTGTTGAATATGTCATGGAAAAATAGATGGGAATTTCATTAAAATAGTCAAAACTTTTAAAATAGAAAATTTTTAAAAGCAGAAATATAACACTAACCACAAAGAAACTGAGTTTGTGACTATTATGGCAGTCACCTAAGTATTATCTTTAATCTCATTTCCATTTTAAAAAACACACCCCATAAGCAAAAGGCTAAGGAAGGATGTATACATACCATAAAGCTAGATTAAATATATCATGTAACTTTTAATAAAAAGCAGGAAGAACTCAGCCATGAAACATCCTCAGATCAAAAAGGCAGATTCTATTCTATGCCCTGAAGAGCTATTTATGAAAACAGAGTGTGCAACTATTAAAAAAAAAAAAAAAATTCCAAATACATGGCTTCTGTGCTATTCCAGTGATTCTAGATTACACGGCAGATAAGACAACTCCTACTGTGCTCCTTCCTCGTGCATTAAAGGAGCTAGCTGTGGTGTCTAAACTTTTGGATCAAAAGGATATGCTCCAGGACTATCCCTATAAGCACACAGCTCCCTCGCCCTCCATGCTCATGGGGAGAGAAAGGGATGGCAAATGCCACCTTGGAGCAATGCTCCTGAGTTCTCAGACCACATCTTTGTGTCACAGACCACGAGTCAGCAGCAGTTTTACTTCTAAGTGCTACCAAGAGAGTTTGAAAATGCCACTAATAGGTAAAAGGGGGTGCCAGAGAAAGACTCTTGGTAAAATTAGACAAAAAGAAAAGCAGGTTGAAAAGTGATAACGAGGGGTCAAAGTCGGAGGACATTTAGTTATACCCGTTTCTTTCTTTCTTTTTTTTTTTAAAGATTTTATTTATTTATTTGAGAGAGAGAATGAGATAGAGAGAGAGCATGAGAGGGGGGAGGGTCAGAAGGAGAAGCAGACTCCCTGCTGAGCAGGGAGCCCGATGCGGGACTCGATCCCGCGACTCCAGGATCATGACCTGAACCGAAGGCAGTCGCTTAACCAACTGAGCCACCCAGGCACCCTACCCGTTTCTTAAATTAGATACTTTTTAAATTACACAGAGCCTAACTAAAGAGTGCAGAAAGACAGACTAGATTCTTGTTACAATTTATTTTGTTTTAAGATTCTATTTGAGAGAGAGAGAGAGAGAAAGCACCAGCAGGGTGAGGGGCAGAGGGAAAAGCAGGCTCCCCGCTGAGCAGGGAGTCTGATGTGGGACTTGATCCCATGACCCTGGGATCATGACCTGAGCCGAAGGCAGATGCTTAACCAACTGAGCCACCCAGGCGCCCAACTGTGGCATTACTGAAGAAAAAAGAAAGTGCTCAGTAAGGTGAAATAAGTCAGATGAGGTAAAAAAAAAAAAAAAAAAAAGAATCAAATTTAAACTTTTTAAACTAAGACACAGGATCATTTTTTCTAATCCCTTATTTCTCCCAGGACTACTGGCAGATATTAGTAATATGAAATTTTATGTATTCCTTCAATTAAACTAGTCAAATCGTTTGGTTTTTCTTTTTTCTTGTGAAGTAAAAAGTGTCAGAAAAAACCATAGTTATCTCTTGATCATTTGGGCTGAACGGAATGAACTGACACCTTGTTCTGAACCGTCTGCCTCACCTCCTGCAGTGGGATTTGTCTTTAAAAGACAATCCACGAGACAAACTGTGCTCTTCATCCATTTTCAAAGGTCTCATTTGCCTGTCAGCTATACTACTTTAGTACTTGATGGGAAGATCAAAAATGGGAGTAACTGAAAAATAAAATTCTACACCTTCAGAAACACAGGTTGTAGCAGTAATAAAAATGTGTTAATAAATAAAGCAGCATTCTGAAACAAAAATAAGAAGGAACACTCCAGTAAGCTGGAGGGTTACTATTAGTACCAAGTCTTGGTGGTAATTACCTAATTTTACTCATTAGTTTATTTAGGGGAAACGCGTGCGCGCACACGCACCCCTCAACACAAAGAGCAGGAT